TGTATTAAAGGACTAATGGAATATAATTACAGTATTTATGTATTTAGGCTATAGCCTACTGTTTTTCATACATTTCATAAAGATACGTGCCATCAAAGTCAGGCAACACAAACCTGTTTCAAGACTTGAAACAATATCCCCCATTAGCACATGCAGAAACTAAGAAATTAATTTTGAAATAAAGATATTATTTTTGTTAAGGAAAAAATACAAATGTTTGAATGTTCTACCTCAGATTTGTGAAATGTTCACCTGTTTGGCAAGTGTTTGTCATGATATGTTTTGACAATAAAGAGTAGTTTAAAACCACAATTAACGCTCTGGTTTCTACAACTTTCAGTTAGGAACAAAAATCTGCCTTCAAAGTTCAAAGAAATAAAGAATTGACATTTATCGTCATAATTATCGATATTGACTGATATTATCGTGATAAGTGTTGTGTTGTTCCTGTGTTATTGATACTTAGGAAAAGGGAGCCTTCAGTTTGTTACTCTTAAGAAAATGGAACCTTTAAATAATTAAACTTATTACTTTTAATGAAAGTCAATAAAAAAAGACTTTTGAAAGGAAGTTATTTTTCGTAATTCGAGTAGGTCATAAATTTAAATAATATTGGTCATAAAAAGGTCTTAAAAGGTCTTAAATTTGACTGACTAAACCCTGCAGAAACCCTGAGTATTGTGCACTAAAGCAAACCAGTCTTTCAATGTGAATACCATTATGCATGCTTACACACACACACAAACACACACACACACACAATTGTGGGTTATGATATTGTGAAAATCTCTTTTTGTGGTCCTTAAGCATTTCAGATATTTATTTGTGATGTAAAAATATTAAACTTTCTAATAAATCATTATTTAATATTATATTATAAGCATTTGTTTGTTAGCCATTGCTGAAAACTGGTTAAAAAAGATAAAAAATATCTAATGCTGTTGCTCCCTCTAGTGGACAACAGCGGTTTTACAGCCTACATAAACGGTTGAAATGAATGACACGAAATTCGTTTTTTTTTTTACTTATATCTCGGGAACGAGAAAGTGAAAAAATCTGAAACTCAGAACTTAGATAGGGTTAGAGGAGCCCTCTTGAATAAGACCATCCCCGTGTTGCTGAGTGATTGCTGTCGGGAGTAATGTCCGTTTAAATGCATATCTTTGTGGGCTTATATCTCGGGAATGCCCAGGCCAAATCGCACCAAACTCGAATCGAAGCTAGCTGAGGACGAGCCCTTTCCAACAAGCTCTTCCACAAGGATCTAGATGGTGTGGATCAAGAGTTACAGCCGTTTCAAGTTGGGGTTCTCACAGATTAGCGATCCGCGGGGGGGGGGGGGGGGGCGCTCCCGAGCCCCGCGACGAAAGATTTGGATCAAGATCCCCGAGAGGACCTTACCATCAAAATTTGAGCGGGCAGAGACTTTCCGTTTTCGAGTTATGAGTGAATTCGTGCTTGGGGGGGCGTGGCCCAATGTTTTACTTTCGTTTTGAGGCTTCCTGTGACAATTAATTATAGAGGCAAATTTTGTCTGATTTGTCTGAAATTTTTCAACGCCGTACAGAGTGATATTACACATGTTCTTGACCTTTTTTAAAGAAGATCTGAGCATTCATTTAAGAGATCAGCATTTACAGCCAATACAGGCAATTTGCCATAGGAAATGTATGGTTTTAAAGCTTTTTGACAGTTATAGCGCCAACTATGGTCCGATCTCCATGAAACTTTGCATGCTTCTTCACCATGTTATGACACATATGCTCACCAATTTTTGTTTAGTTCTGAGTTTTTATTTATGATTTATAGGCTTTTGTGTGTATTTGACACGCCCCTTTTCTAAATGACCCTGTTATAGCCATACGAAAAATGCAAAAGTTCAACTTTTTTTCAATGATTATTGATCTAGAGAGTCCAGAGAATTGTCCTAGACTGGTCTGGTTCCAATCGGGCAAAAATCCAGGGACTAGTTCGCAAAAGTAGGTTTTTAACATATTCGTGAATATTTAATGAACGATTTGATTGACAGCAATGGTTCTAGAGGGAAAGTTGTTCATCCTGAGGAGATCTATCAAATGATATGCATATTTTCGGGATGTGTGCAACACCACGTGATTACAGAGCCGTAAAACTCGTTAGCGCCAACTAGTGGCCAATTTCTTTCAAAACTCTTACAGACCTCTTGGGCCATGAGTCAAACATGTCCGTCGAGTTTCGTTCCGATTGGCCTCCGTTAACTTCGTGTAATAGGTGCTCAAATTCATTGGCCGATGGCGGCCATGTTTTTTAAATTACGCCAATTTCCTCATACCCATACATGGCACCTTGGACCAAGACACTGCATACCAATTTTTAAGTCAATCGGACTAACGGTCAGGTGGTCATAGCCCGATTTAGGTTTTTTGTGTGTTATAGCGCCACCTAGTGTTAGGTCGACGCGATTTTTTTACTGTGACCTCAGATTGAACTCATACACATGTGTTCCAAGATTGGTGAAGATATCTCATTTACTTCTCGAGTTATAGCCATATTAGTAAAATAGGCTCCTCCCACAACGATCATTTTACTCCCCCTAGCGACCGTGAATCGAAAATTCAACTTTTTTTCAATGATTATTGATATTCAGACTCCAGAGAACATGTATGCATTTGTCTGGTTTTGATCGGGCGAAAAACCAGGGACTAGTTCGCAAAAGTAGGTTTTTGACAAAATTCAAAATGGCGGAAAAATTTGCATACCGGAAATGAAATCGGAGATATACGTTTTGTTCTTCAGGCCTCCAGCTTTCCAATGATATAAGACACTTGAGTCTACGACATACGGTTTAGGAGTTATGAGCAGTTTCGCGCAATTGATTGCTGTAGCGCCACCTATAGGCCAATCGGGGTCATACTTTCTGAGGCTCTCCTCGATTTTTGTACTACCATCTGACAAAGTTTCAGAGCTCCAGCACTTACGGTTTGTTCTGCACGATGCGTTTTACGGCAGAAGAATAATAATAATAATAATAATAATAAAAATCAGTACAAATACAATAGGTTTTCAGCACTTCGTGCTTGAACACCTAATAAAAATCAGTACAATTACAATAGGTTTTCAGCACTTCGTGCTTGAACACCTAAAAATCTGAAGTTTCAGTCGCTCTGAGAACAGGAGACAGATTTTCTACAAAAAGACATCCAGATCATAATCCACCTCAGAAACAAACGCAAAAATTAATATTTTGAAGCCTATTTTTTTTTTTTTTGCATTGTAAGATTATGTTACAATTAAACACATGTAGACTTAAAAAAAAAAAGTAATACTATAAGTATATAGTCAGTTTGCGCTGCGTGTTTCCCGATAGAATCGCTCTTCGAAGTAACGCGAGTTTAGCGTTTGCCGTTTAGCAACAACAGTTACGAATTATTTTTCACATCTACAATTGTTTTTGTGGGCGGATGATTACAGAACTTCACTAGATTTGTAATGAAATGCGTTTGTAAACCTGTTTTCATAGAAACGGTCGTTTTCAGCCAAAATAAAAGCGCAACCAGTTTCCGTCAAATAAAAGCTCAACCAGTTTTCCGTCAAAAATAAAAGCGCAACCAGTTTTCCATCAAAATAAAAGCGCAACCACAGTTTCCGTAAATTAAAGCACAACTAGTTTTCCGTCAAAATAAAATCGCAACTACATTTTCCGTCAAATAAAAGCGCAACCAGTTTTCCGTCAAAATAAAAGCGCAACCAGTTTCCCATCAAAATAAAAGCGCAACCAGTTTTCCATCAAAATAAAAGCGCAACCACAGTTTCCATAAATTAAAGCACAACTAGTTTTCCGTCAAAATAAAATCGCAACCAGTTTTCCATCAAAATAAAAGCGCAATCACATTTTCCTTCAAATAAAAGCGCAACCAGTTTTCCATCAAAATAAAAGCGCAACCAGATTTTCCATCGAATTAAAGCGCAACCAGTTTTCCGTCAAAATAAAAGCGCAAACAATTTCCGTAAATTAAAGCACAACTAGTTTTCCGTCAAAATAAAAGCGCAACCAGTTTTCCGTCAAAATAAAAGTGCAACCACATTTTCCGTCAAATAAAAGCGCAACCAGTTTTCCGTCAAAATAAAAGCGCAACCATATTTCCCGTCAAATAAAAGCGCAACCACATTTCCCGTCAAATAAAAGCGCAATCACATTTTCCGTCAAAATAAAAGCACAACCACAGTTTGTCAGAATAAAGGCTCAGGGGTTATCTCTTGCAAGTGAAGACATTAACAAAGTAAAATAATACTTATGCAATATTAATTTTCATTCATTTTACAGTGTAATTTCTTTCCCAATAAATGGCTATTTCTGTCATAGGATTATTATTATTATTATTATTATTATTATTATGATTATAATATTCGAATTGTTTGGCTTCCTAAAAAAACACCAAATCCTATGGGAAACACTGTATAATATATAAAATAATAAATAATATTGAAAACATATTATAATATAAAAAAATATATAAATATTTCACGATTCAAATAATATATAATTATTTTCACTACAGTGAAATGAAAATAATGTCACAATACAAGAAAATAAATAAATAATTTATTATAAATAATAATATTTTTTGGGGGGATTTTGGTGTGAAATATGACCTGGATGTTTTTGAGACGGTTCAATATCATAGAAAAATCAAACCAAAAGGACTTCAATTTAGCATTACACTGTAGGTGATACACAGATCACATTTCCCATCATGCTTCACATGTAATAAACACACGTGCACGAGCACCAACAGATAAACAGATGAAGCTGCAAGCGGCACAAGACCTGAAGGACAGAGAAGTCCAACCGAGAAGCTTTAATGTATGAAAACATCATGTCTGAATGAGCGATCATCCTCACACACACACACACACACACACACACACACACACACACACACACACACACACACACACACACACACACGCACGCATGAAATGAAGCAAGCGTATGAATGTGACTCATGAATCGCTCTTACCTTCGGCTGGCGAGATCTCGCTCTCTTTATGCACCACTACTTTAGTGACGCTCATGTCTGGGTGCTGCTCTTTGGCCTCTTTAATAGCCTGAGCCAGAGCCTGACCCACAATGCACCAGCAGAGAGAAACACACACGCGCACAGCGGTTATCAGTCAATCAACGTGTGTGTTTATAGAGCAATATCAATGATTTGAATGTTAACACAAACTGTTCAATATCATAAAATTAACTGTGATTGTAATTGCATGCATTATAAAAGTGTGTTAAATATATAAAGATCTGATGAATCATTACAAGATGTGATTCGTTTATAGACGGAAAAACCGCCAGAATTATGCTATTTAATTTCACCCCAAAATTAATATTTATATAAATCGTAGGAAAGAAAAAGTGTCTATTTTATGCTTGACACACCTTAATAATTTGTTTAATAAAATACATTTATTATTACTAAAAATATTATTATTAAACATTTAAATACAAATATTATATAGGCCTATATATATATAGTAATCATTTTATCACACACACACACACACACACACACACACACACACACACACACACACACACACACACACACACACACACACACACACACACACACACACACACACACACACACACACACACACACACAAACACACACACAAACACACACACACATATATATAGAGTGATCGTTTTATTTGATAAATATAGTTTTTATTAATATTTTAAATTAGTTTATTTTCATAATTTCGTTGTGTTTTGGTCATTTTCTTAAGTTTTAAAAAAATATGTCTATACAGTTTTTATTTTTCAGTTTTAGTTATTTCACTACATCAAGTTAAACTAAATGAAAATGAGAAATAGATTAAGTAAAATAAGTTTAATTAGCCAGATATTTATTAGAATATATATATACATTTAATAGGGACAATATAGAATTATTTTATTGCATATATATATATTTTATTAATAATGAATGACTTCAGTGTGTGTGTGTAAATATATATAAATGACACACACACACACACACACACACTTAAGTCCTTCTTTACCTTATAAATAGATAAAACTTATTCTTTTTAGTCCCTATTAAATAAACTAATAATAATAATTAAAAAATAATGCATTTTCATTTTAAAATTGTATTTGATTTTTGTGTTTTGCGCGTTTAATGTCAGCGAGACACACTGAGAGAGACACTATTTCCTCACACACACAGGTTATCTCCTCACACACACAGGTTATCTCCTCACACACACAGGTTATCTCCTCACACACACACAGGTTATCTCCTCACACACACAGGTTATCTCCTCACACACACAGGTTATCTCCTCACACACACACAGGTTATCTCCTCACACACACACAGGTTATCTCCTCACACACACACACAGGTTATCTCCTCACACACACACACAGGTTATCTCCTCACACACACACACAGGTTATCTCCTCACACACACACAGGTTATCTCCTCACACACACACAGGTTATCTCCTCACACACACAGGTTATCTCCTCACACACACAGGTTATCTCCTCACACACACACACACACAGGTTATCTCCTCACACACACAGGTTATCTCCTCACACACACACACAGGTTATCTCCTCACACACAGGTTATCTCCTCACACACACAGGTTATCTCCTCACACACAGGTTATCTCCTCACACACACAGGTTATCTCCTCACACACAGGTTATCTCCTCACACACACAGGTTATCTCCTCACACACACACACAGGTTATCTCCTCACACACAGGTTATCTCCTCACACACACAGGTTATCTCCTCACACACAGGTTATCTCCTCACACACACAGGTTATCTCCTCACACACACACACACAGGTTATCTCCTCACACACACACACAGGTTATCTCCTCACACACACACACAGGTTATCTCCTCACACACACACACAGGTTATCTCCTCACACACACACAGGTTATCTCCTCACACACACACAGGTTATCTCCTCACACACACAGGTTATCTCCTCACACACACAGGTTATCTCCTCACACACACACACACAGGTTATCTCCTCACACACACAGGTTATCTCCTCACACACACACACAGGTTATCTCCTCACACACAGGTTATCTCCTCACACACACAGGTTATCTCCTCACACACAGGTTATCTCCTCACACACACAGGTTATCTCCTCACACACACACAGATTATCTCCTCACACACACAGGTTATCTCCTCACACACACAGGTTATCTCCTCACACACACAGGTTATCTCCTCACACACAGGTTATCTCCTCACACACACAGGTTATCTCCTCACACACAGGTTATCTCCTCACACACACAGGTTATCTCCTCACACACAGGTTATCTCCTCACACACAGGTTATCTCCTCACACACACAGGTTATCTCCTCACACACAGGTTATCTCCTCACACACACACACAGGTTATCTCCTCACACACAGGTTATCTCCTCACACACACAGGTTATCTCCTCACACACACACAGGTTATCTCCTCACACACACAGGTTATCTCCTCACACACACACACACAGGTTATCTCCTCACACACACAGGTTATCTCCTCACACACACACACACAGGTTATCTCCTCACACACACAGGTTATCTCCTCACACACAGGTTATCTCCTCACACACACACACACAGGTTATCTCCTCACACACACACACAGGTTATCTCCTCACACACACACACAGGTTATCTCCTCACACACACACACAGGTTATCTCCTCACACACACACACACAGGTTATCTCCTCACACACACACACAGGTTATCTCCTCACACACACACACAGGTTATCTCCTCACACACACACACAGGTTATCTCCTCACACACACACACAGGTTATCTCCTCACACACACACAGGTTATCTCCTCACACACACAGGTTATCTCCTCACACACACACACACACACAGGTTATCTCCTCACACACACAGGTTATCTCCTCACACACACACACACAGGTTATCTCCTCACACACAGGTTATCTCCTCACACACACAGGTTATCTCCTCACACACAGGTTATCTCCTCACACACACAGGTTATCTCCTCACACACACACAGATTATCTCCTCACACACACAGGTTATCTCCTCACACACACAGGTTATCTCCTCACACACACAGGTTATCTCCTCACACACAGGTTATCTCCTCACACACACAGGTTATCTCCTCACACACACAGGTTATCTCCTCACACACAGGTTATCTCCTCACACACACAGGTTATCTCCTCACACACACAGGTTATCTCCTCACACACAGGTTATCTCCTCACACACACAGGTTATCTCCTCACACACAGGTTATCTCCTCACACACACAGGTTATCTCCTCACACACACACAGATTATCTCCTCACACACACAGGTTATCTCCTCACACACACAGGTTATCTCCTCACACACACAGGTTATCTCCTCACACACACAGGTTATCTCCTCACACACACAGGTTATCTCCTCACACACACAGGTTATCTCCTCACACACACAGGTTATCTCCTCACACACACAGGTTATCTCCTCACACACACAGGTTATCTCCTCACACACACACAGGTTATCTCCTCACACACACACAGGTTATCTCCTCACACACACACAGGTTATCTCCTCACACACACACAGGTTATCTCCTCACACACACAGGTTATCTCCTCACACACACACAGGTTATCTCCTCACACACACAGGTTATCTCCTCACACACACACAGGTTATCTCCTCACACACACAGGTTATCTCCTCTCACACACACAGGTTATCTCCTCTCACACACACAGGTTATCTCCTCTCACACACAGGTTATCTCCTCACACACACACAGGTTATCTCCTCTCACACACACAGGTTATCTCCTCACACACACACAGGTTATCTCCTCACACACACACAGGTTATCTCCTCACACACACACAGGTTATCTCCTCACACACACAGGTTATCTCCTCACACACACACAGGTTATCTCCTCACACACACACAGGTTATCTCCTCACACACACAGGTTATCTCCTCACACACACACAGGTTATCTCCTCACACACACAGGTTATCTCCTCACACACACACAGGTTATCTCCTCTCACACACACAGGTTATCTCCTCTCACACACACAGGTTATCTCCTCACACACACAGGTTATCTCCTCACACACACAGGTTATCTCCTCACACACACACAGGTTATCTCCTCACACACACAGGTTATCTCCTCACACACACAGGTTATCTCCTCACACACACAGGTTATCTCCTCACACACACAGGTTATCTCCTCACACACACACAGGTTGAGCGATCTCTGTACCTGGTCGTGGTCGATGTCTGCGTCTCCTGTGATCACGATCCTCTTCTCGATGCGAGTCTCTGAGATGCCGTCCTTCACCGTCTGACGAAACACAATCAAACCGGTTACGCTTCCCACATCGACATCACGCCTGGATTCTGTGACTCTGCCGGATTTAACACTCATCCTTCCCTCGGGAAATGTTGACGTGGAAATTATGGACTTTTGTCGCACCTGAACCACGAATACACCCAAAAACTTTAATGGATTCGAGGAGTTTTGTGGTTGAAATGTAAAAAGTAACAAATCCTCTCGGGTCAATTTGACCCCCCTAGGAATGCTTCAGTACACATAGAAAAACCTAAAAATACTCAAAATTCAAACTAAAAATGCTAAAACTTCACCCAAAAAAAATACGATTTTATAATGTCTGCATGTGTATCTGAATCATAGCACACTGAAGAGAAACTGGCTCTAGGACCCAGCGGAACAGCTCAGGTGCTCCATAAGCCCATCTAGAGTCATGAAATATCATGTATTATTATTTATTTTTCCAAAAGAGGTCTGCAAAGACACCCAGTGTAAGATATTTTGAACTGAATTAAAAGGGTTTATGCATGAAATTGTGAGTTATTTTTAGTAAGTTGAAAAAATGTGCTTAAATGACTAATTATTTATTGATCAAATCTAGTAATTTAAAGGTAAAAAAAAAAAAAAATTGCATAATTTTTTTTTAAATCAAATAAGCTTTCTAAAAAAAAAAAAAAAAAAAAAAAAAAAAAAAAAAAAAATGACTATAATAGTAGGGCTTTGGGATCATTTTGAGCCGCGAGGGAAGCATGAGTGTTAACACACAGATGAGACTGAGCGTTTGACTGACTTTAGTGATGTGTGTGGTGGTGGTGGTGCTGTTGTTCTCTGATGTGATCGTCTGAGCGCTCATGAGGACGCCTGGATCCGACTCGCCATTCGCATCAACCTTCAAACACACACACACACACACACACACACACAAGCATTACAAACGGACATACCTATAGAGCTTCTGTAGCCCCGCCCCTTAAAAATCTTTTAAAATCTTCCCGGTCGAGTGACATTTGTTAAGACATCTGCTTTAAACACTACAATCCTCATGATAACTTTTGGTAACTTTACACTAAGTAAATCCACTTCGAAAGCTAATTAGTCCTGGACAGCGATGCCATAGAGATATACAGAGCGACCGCAAAAACACAAGTTCAAAGACAATATTGTAAAGACGCGGCGCTCGTTTCTCTGGCGCATACGGTCTATAGACTGAACACAGTATATAGACTGAATACACATGTGCGTCGCAGCGTGGCGATTTTTGAAGTTTACACGGAAAATGTCAACGCTTGCAGTTTGGATCCTGTTTCAAGGTTTGCGTTCTCGAGCTCCAAACACTGTTATCGTGTAAATGAACGGCTAGAACGCATTAAAAGTTTTCAGTTAAACGGTGTCGTGTTAGCGGCCCATACGTTAATAACTAATGATCTTTCCAACGGAAGTGAATCAAAACTAACTTTATTCTAGAGCTGCTGTAAAGCCTAAACAATCTCTGTTACTGTAATCTCCTGTTATCACTGTAAAGCTGCTGTGAAACTCTATATATTGTTAAAGCGCTGTATAAATGAAGCTGACTTGACTATATACACATCCTCAGGAACAGGAGTGTTTACCTCAGAAGACTCGTACGTGATGGTCTTGGTCTCAGTGTGAACCACGGGGACGTCTTTACCCGGCTCCTCCGACTGCTGATCCTGAAACAGAGAAACCACTGTGAAACACTCGACTCTCTCAAGCGCATCTGCATCGCAAACCACCATCAGCTTCACCTGGAACACACACACTTCAGCTGGAACACACACACTTTAGCTAATCATACTGGAGAAACGCGGAAAATGAGAGTATCGTGCAAATGCTCAATTATTTCAGTAATTCAACTTAAAAGGTGAAACTAATATATTATATAGACTCATTACATGCAAAGTGAGATATTTCAAGCCTTTATTTGTTATAATTGTGATGATTATGGCTTACAGCTTATGAAAACCCCAAGAATATTGTGAAAAGGTTTTCATAAGCTGTGAGCCTGTCAAAAGTGACAGAATCTTTTTGTAACCTTATAAATGTCTTTAGTATTTCGAATAAATGCTGTTCTTTTGAACCTTCTGTTCATCAAAAAATAAAAAATAAAATTGTACAACACTTTTCAACATTGATAATAATCATAAATGTTTATTGAGCATCAGATCCTCATATTAGAGTGATTTCTGAAGGATCATGTGACACTGAAGACTGGAGTAATGATGCTAAAAAAATTCAGCTTTGATCACAGGAATAAATTACATTTTAAAATAAATTAAAATAGAACTTATTTTAAATTGTAATAATATTTAACAATATTAGTTTTTTTTTTATTCAAATAAAATGTACCCTTGGTGAGCATAAGAGACTTCTTTTAAAAACATTAAATAATCCTTCCGATCACAAAATTTTCAACGGCAGTGTACATTGAACTGAATTTGAGCTGATTATAGCGGAATTCAATTAGTTTCATAATTGATCAACTTTGCAACATTGACACAGTTACTGAACTAAACCGAATCAACATTAAACTGAATAATGACATTATTGTCTTCTACTTTATAGCTGAAATTTAATTGGTTTCAGGATTGAATTTTGAAATATTAAACACTGTTATTGAACTAAACTGAATCAACATTGAACTGAATAATGACATTATCTTCTGAAAAGCTGCTTTATAGCTCATGTTTCATAATGGTGGATTTTGAAACTTTATCACTGTTATTTTATACTTTGAATCAATCTGAAATAAAAGTGGACTCAACGTCACGACTGGTTTCTTATTCAATCATGCGTTGAAGGCAAAATCAGCAGTTTGAGTGGCGAATGGAAAAGTCCAGCTGCTCATGACATGCATGTGTGTGTGTGTGTGTGTGTGTGTTATAACAACATCTGTGATCATGCAGGGTTGTGTATTTAATGTGATCAATCACATTCATCACACACTTCCAATCGTGAAGAAGGAAGAAAGAGAGGATTCCATCATTAGTCAGTGCCGGTGTCAGCGCAGAAACACACGGCGACCCAGATGCATTCTGGGAGTGATTACCTCTACTGTATGTTCATGCACTTCCTGCTTTACTTCCTGTACTGAGACTTCCACTTCCTGTTCTGCATGTGATCCAGAAACCAGCTCATTCTCTTCATCCTTCTCATTTTGAACGTGCAACACTTTTGTTTTCATAACATCTGACGTTTGAAACATTGACGGCTCGTCTTCATCTTTAACGTTGATCGTCTTCACTTGAGGTTGGTCTTCTATCTTGTTCTGGTCAGTTGATGAATCAGACGTCGTATAAAGTTGAAATTCTCCATAATATTGAGTCTCCAAGTTGATGGACTCGTCCTCTTCATTAAAAAACCAGAGCTGGGACCGATTAAACGTTTCTCCAAATGCTTCGTCAACACGTTCTTGATCAAAACTCTCAATGCGGTTGTGGAACAACGCCGACAGCTCATTCTCATTCTGCTCTTGGGTTTCTCCAGTGGTTTCTTCCATTGCAGTTTCCTTGAGTTCATCTTTAATCTCAAAACTTTGGCGTTTCGGATCCCAGATTTGGAGTAAATCTTCATCCTCTTCATGGTTAATGATTTCTGGGATTCCAGCAGGAATGTCTTGGGTTTCTCCAGTGGTTTCTTCCATTGTAGTTTCCTTGATTTCTTCAACCTGAATAATTTGGCTTTTCTGATCCCAGATTTGGAGTAAATCTTCATTTTCCTCATGGTACGTCACTTCTTGGATTCTAGCAGGAATCTCTTGAGTTTCTGATCTGGTTTCTTCTCCTCCAGATGGAGTTTCCATTGCAGTTTCCTTTATTTCAACTTCAACACTTTGGCGTTTTGGATCCCAGATTTGGAGCAAATCTTCACCATCATCTTCATGGCACATCATTTCTGGGATTCCAGCAGGAATGTCTTGGGTTTCTCCAGTGGTTTCTTCCATTGCAGTTTCCTTGATTTCATCTTCAATCTCAATACTTTGGCATTTCGGATCCCAGATGTGGAATAAATCTTCATCCTCTACATGGGAAATCATTTCTGGGATTCCAGCAAGAATCTCTTGGGTTTCTCCAGTGGTTTCTTGCATTGCAATTTCATTGATTTCTTTGACTTCAATACGTTGGTTTTCCAGATCCCACATTTGGAGCAAATCTTCATCTTCTTCACGGCATATCACTTCTTGGATTCTAGCAGGAATCTCTTGGGTTTCTGATCTGGTTTCTTCTCCTTCAGACAGAGTTTCCATTGCAGTTTTCTTGATTTCATCTTCAACTTCAATACTTTGGCATTTTGGATCCCAGATGTGGAATAAATCTTCATCATCATCTTCATGGTTAATTATTTCTGGGATTCCAGCAGGAATGTCTTGGGTTTCTCCAGTGGTTTCTACCATTGCAATTCCATTGATTTCTTCAACCTCAATACATTGGTTTTTCAGATCCCAGATTTGGAGCAAATTTTCATTTTCCTCATGGCACGTCACTTCTTGGATTCTAGCAGGAATCTTTTGGGTTTCTGAGCTGGTTTCTTCTCCAGATGGAGTTTCCATTACAGCTTCCTTGTTTTCATCTTCAACTTCAATACTTTGGCATTTTGGGTCCCAGATTTGGAGCAAATCTTCATCATCATCTTCACGGCACATCATTTCTGGGATTCCAGCAGGAATGTCTTGGATTTCTCTTGTGGTTTCTTCCATTGCAAATTCATTGATTTCTTTGATTTCAATACTTTGGTTTTCCAGATCCCACATTTGGAGCAAATCTTCATCTTCTTCACGGCATATCACTTCTTGGATTCTAGCAGGAATCTCTTGGGTTTCTGAGCTGGTTTCTTCTCCAGATGGAGTTTCGATTACAGCTTCCTTGTTTTCATCTTCAACTTCAATACTTTGGCATTTTGGGTCCCAGATTTGGAGCAAATCTTCATCATCATCTTCACGGCACATCATTTCTGGGATTCCAGCAGGAATGTATTGGGTTTCTCCAGTGGTTTCTTCCATTGCAGTTTCCTTGATTTCATCTTCAATCTCAATACTTTGGCATTTCGGATCCCAGATGTGGAATAAATCTTCATCATCATCTTCATGGTTAATTATTTCTGGGATTCCAGCAGGAATGTCTTGGGTTTCTCCAGTGGTTTCTACCATTGCAATTTCATTGATTTCTTCAACCGCAATACTTTGGTTTTTCAGATCCCAGATTTGGAGCAAATTTTCATTTTCCTCATGGCACGTCACTTCTTGGATTCTAGCAAGAATCTTTTGGGTTTCTGAGCTGGTTTCTTCTCCAGATGGAGTTTCGATTACAGCTTCCTTGTTTTCATCTTCAACTTCAATACTTTGGCATTTTGGGTCCCAGATTTGGAGCAAATCTTCATCATCATCTTCACGGCACATCATTTCTGGGATTCCAGCAGGAATGTATTGGGTTTCTCCAGTGGTTTCTTCCATTGCAGTTTCCTTGATTTCATCTTCAATCTCAATACTTTGGCATTTCGGATCCCAGATGTGGAATAAATCTTCATCATCATCTTCATGGTTAATTATTTCTGGGATTCCAGCAGGAATGTCTTGGGTTTCTCCAGTGGTTTCTACCATTGCAATTTCATTGATTTCTTCAACCGCAATACTTTGGTTTTTCAGATCCCAGATTTGGAGCAAATTTTCATTTTCCTCATGGCACGTCACTTCTTGGATTCTAGCAAGAATCTTTTGGGTTTCTGAGCTGGTTTCTTCTCCAGATGGAGTTTCGATTACAGCTTCCTTGTTTTCATCTTCAACTTCAATACTTTGGCATTTTGGGTCCCAGATTTGGAGCAAATCTTCATCATCATCTTCACGGCACATCATTTCTGGGATTCCAGCAGGAATGTATTGGGTTTCTCCAGTGGTTTCTTCCATTGCAGTTTCCTTGATTTCATCTTCAATCTCAATACTTTGGCATTTCGGATCCCAGATGTGGAATAAATCTTCATCATCATCTTCATGGTTAATTATTTCTGGGATTCCAGCAGGAATGTCTTGGGTTTCTCCAGTGGTTTCTACCATTGCAATTTCATTGATTTCTTCAACCGCAATACTTTGGTTTTTCAGATCCCAGATTTGGAGCAAATTTTCATTTTCCTCATGGCACGTCACTTCTTGGATTCTAGCAAGAATCTTTTGGGTTTCTGAGCTGGTTTCTTCTCCAGATGGAGTTTCGATTACAGCTTCCTTGTTTTCATCTTCAACTTCAATACTTTGGCATTTTGGGTCCCAGATTTGGAGCAAATCTTCATCATCATCTTCACGGCACATCATTTCTGGGATTCCAGCAGGAATGTCTTGGGTTTCTCCAGTGGTTTCTTCCATTGCAGTTTCCTTGATTTCATCTTCAATCTCAATACTTTGCCGTTTCGGATCCCAGATGTGGAATAAATCTTCATCATCATCTTCATGGTTAATTATTTCTGGGTTTCCAGCAGGAATCTCTTGGGTTTCTGAGCTGGTTTGGAGCAAGTCTTCATGACAGCTTCTGCTGTGTAATGCTTGATCCTCCAGAACGACACCTTCTTCTCTACTTGAAGCCCATGAAGAGCGTCTCCCCATCGCGATGGCCTCACTCAGGGCCTTCATATACTTCTCTTTTTCACCAGCAGAGGGAGTTTGAGCCCGCGTCTCACAGCACACCTCCAC